AGATCGGGTGTCTGCCTAAATATTTACGACAATTAGGCACCTCTAATTTTATAACCATCTGATCCCTATATTATTCTTATTTTCATTTTAGTTTTATCAATTAAAATTGTTATTTTGATTTTCAAAACTTTTTTATTGGAATGACAGTTTATTTTTGGTTGTTCTTTAATTTTTTAATTAATATTTGAGCAAATCATTACAATGACTTAAAAAGTTTTGTATCATCAAAGTCTTTTCAGCTTATAATATCAAATTATCTATTTTGTTTTGTTTTTTTTTTATTTATTTATTATAAAACGACTTGTTTTACAAAAAAGTTAATTCGTGTTTTTGGAAATCACCTTTCCGGAGATTATATTTCACAAATTTTAGTGTTGCTTATACGAATAATTTGTAGTTTTTTCTTGAACCTTTTGCAAAAGATCCGCATGATTTTTTTATTTAATGAAAATAACATCATTATTAATTAACCAACATTATTCTTGTGAAAACTTAGTTATTTCGTGATTTTTTTTTCAGAAAATATGAAGTCATGAAAAATGATTTTGTATATTAGCGGAAATTTTTTGTTAAATAAACGGTCATTTTATAATAAATAGTATAAAATATACGATTATGAGTATGATATAACTTTTCCATATTTGGTATTTCGTTGATATGTTACAAAAATTACAATCTGTTTAACTTCATATTTTATTGATAAATAACTATCTTTGGGTATAGATTTGGAATTCATGATCTAAATGAAAGTTGTTACGTAGTTCGAGAGTAACATCGTTTGACTTGTCGTTTTAATCACTAAAATAACAAGTTATAAAAAGGCTGTAATCAATTAAAATGTTTTTATCAAGTATGATGATAAGTTGGCCATACAGCCCAAAATTGAGTTAAGACCCAAATCATTATAAAGGCCGAATCCAAGGCCATGTTAAGTGTCAAATTGCAATTTCTGTTTATTACATTAAAAATTCGTCTGTGTTTAACTGTTATAATAAAATGAATCCACTAAACAATAAATATGTCATCTAAAATTGGCCGGTTTAAAATATTTACCATTTTGGACGAAAAAGTTAAACTTGGAATACTAAAGTATCAACTTGACTTTCAATCGTCGTGGTGATATGTGGTGTAGAAGACGAATAATTGCGACCAATAAGAAGCCATCTCCTCCATTTAATGTGCAACGACTATTTTCTTTTAAAAAAATTAATTAAATTAAAAAAAAAAACTTAAAACACTATCTTTTATACTTTTTAACAACACAAAAGATGTATTTTTTTTTTTTTTTGTACAAATTATGATTTGGACGATTGTGAACGGTTTATCGCAACATTCTTTAATGTTCTACAAATCATAGCCGGTCGTATGAATGTTAGTAATAAGAGAACAATTGTCAGTCGAGATCGACAAGTTGCACATGAACTTTTGATACGTTATTAGTTTGCCGATAAATGTGTTTATAATGATGAAACATTCGAACGTCGTTTTCATCTTAATAGAGCATTATTTTTACGTATTAGTGATGTTTTAGTGGTGCGATATGAATATTGCCAACAAAAACCATATGTTAGATGTAGAATGTGCTTTAGTACTATACAGAAATGTGCGACTGTATTTAGGTATTTAGGATATGTTATAACTTATGATGCATTAAACGAGTATTTGAAAGTATCTTAGTGAACCACAATTGAGTGTAGATCATTTTTGCACATGTGTTTATGAGTTTTTTTCACAAATAATATTTGCAAAAACTTGTTGCACATGATATTGAGAAATTGTAGTTGGCACATGAAGAGAAGCATACATTACCAAGAGCTTTGATTGTACACATTGGGCGTGGGAAAATGTCCGAATGTGTGGCCGAGTCAATATACCCAAGTTGATGTAGGTGAACCGACTATGATATTGGAAGTTATTGCATCTCAAGATTTTTGGATTTGGGACGTGTACTTTGGGGTTGTAGGGTCTAACCATAATGCTCTTGTCCATTTTCTTATTTTCAATGATATATGAATCGGGAATTTCCTTCACGATGAACGAGCACAAGGACAAACAGTGTTACTACCTTTGTGAAGGCATACACGATATATCGAACTGAAAAAACAAATATTTTTACAAAAAAAAAAAAAAAAAAAAAATCAAAAGTTGCTTGAAAAGGAAATAGAAAGGACATTTAGAATCTCCAAATAGAAATGACATGTAGTGAAACATGTAACATGACTCTGGAATAATGAAATGCCATAAATAATAGTGTATGCATGTATTATAATGCATAATCTGATTATTGAACATTAAGGTATAGTGATTTGCATGTGCGATGAGAATGACATACGTAGCTCAGATCAACAATTCATTTAGAGTTCGATTGAATTTTTAACAAGGGAAGTTGAAATTCAAAATGCTAAACACATCAATATCTTCGAGGAGACATAATGGAGCATCTTTACTAAAACAACATGGAAGAGGACTAGTATATATTTGAATTACGTATTTTTATGAAACTTTTGCTTTACGTAATTTACTGATTAATTTTTAAATGTTCGGTATTTTTCTTCTATGGTTTTTTAATCATTTTAGTTGTTTGGTGTTGGTTTAAATTGATGCATCATTATGTTTTTATTTTAATGAAAAAACATAGCATTTTCATTATATTATTTATTTAATTTTAATTCCAAAAGTTGATATGTAGTGGTGAATATACCAACTCAATGTGGTTGTGCGTGATTACGAGGGGATGATAATAAACACACTATATTTGTGATTATTGTTAAGTACTCCCGAAGGTCCAAGATAATATTGTTTGTGAAAATATTATAAAACATCATTGGTAATAGCCAATGTTTTAAATAGTGTACGACATGATTTAAAGGGACAATTTTATATATATTTAATAATTTAGTATATATTTTTTATTATTATTCATTTTATATACATATGTAACTTAAAACGGCGTTTTGTTGTTAAAGTTTGACGGGACTATAAGTCTTGTGACTATGGAAGGTCATAACGAGTTTTTTAGAACATTATAATAACTGTATATTTTTTTAACACATGAATGACGTTTTTATGTTTAAATTCAAATGTGATACTAATTTCAGCAACATCAAATTTTTTTAAACAGTATCATTGTCAAATATATCAAATGTTGGAAGGGAACTATAATTCTAAAAAATATAACATCGACAACAGTTTAGCTTTATTTTATTTAAAATTATATATTATACTTAGATTTAGCTATTGTTACGCTGATTAATACCGACAGAAAATATAAATACATAATTAACTTTCGGATAATAAATTACATTTGATATCGTGTGGTGTATATATATGACGTATGTAATTGGTCCCATATCGAAGATGGAAAGAGAAATAGTAAGGTGGGGAGTGGCTATAAAAGGGGGGTTAAGGGAAATGGAAAAGACATGATCCTTCAAAGCAAGTTTTAATGGGAAGTGACGAGTGGTCATTGCTCGCAATTAAATATGCGAGATGGGGTGTCTGCCTAAAGCTTTACGACAATTAGGCGCCTCCAATTTTAACCATCTGATCCCTAATTTATTATTATTATTTTGTTTTTACTTGAGTAAATTTTAATTTTTATTTGTAAAATTTATTATTTCTTCTTTTGTTTTTCAAAGTTTTATATTTGTTTTTACTTTTGTATACCTCATACATTTTAGTTTGGCTTATACGAATATATTATGATTCATTTTTTAACAAAAGGATCCGCATTTTTTTATGCAGATGATATCGCAATTAATGAAAAAACATGTGTTTTTTTTTTTTTTGAGAACTTATGTTATTTCGAATATTACGAAATCAATTTTTGCTAAATACATGATTGTTTTATACTTTCTCTAAATTAATAGGTTTATTTTTGGTTTGTTTCAAAATAATTGTATGCTTCTAAAAATAAATATCATTATTACCAAAATATTCTTCATTATTTGTAAAGCTATAATAAAATTAAATGCAACTATCATAGAATTAAATGCAACGAAATGAATTGTCATTTCAATTTATAAAGTTAATGATAATTTATGTTTTTTTAATTTATTAGTTGCAAACAATAAATGAAATATATGATTAATGATTATTTTATAGTATATAATGAAATATAACATACCCCTTTTCGATAGTATGGTTATCCGGCTGATGGCTTCGACAAAAAACGAAACCTTTAGCGACGACAAGGGTCTTATGTTTGTTGTGATTTTTTTTAGGATATATATATATATATATATATATATATATATATATATATATATATATATATATATATATCAAGGTTGTAAAAACCGTTCGACGTTAGCTAGTTGGTGGACTAGAGTCAAGGGATTAATCGGCTAGGCGGAGATTTATCGGGACCATTAATTGCTAATTTGTTGAATTTAAAAAAAATAAATATGACAAATATCATATCAAAGTTCGTAAATACCAATAATATGATAACAAAATAGGTTAATATGATTAATACAACACTAATCATGCCTCAAATATTTTCCATTGAAATAAAACTTCTTCAAAATGTTCAAAATTTCATAGTTTTATAATGTTTCACTCATTATGTATGCAGGGAATAATCGCTAGGCGCCCTCTAATCGGTCGAGTAGCGCCTAGGGATTAATCGGGACCTAGTCGGGATTTTTACAACAATGATATATATACACACACACACACACATAATATGATATGATTAAAACAATACAGACCTTATTTTACTAGTCAAATGTAATGATTTTTTAATCATTCTCGCCCTCAGACACTTTAGTGTCTGCTGACACATCACTGTAATAATCGGAAGCATCGTCATCATAATCAGTATCGCAATCAGACACATTATTAATGATATCCTTTGGTGGACCAACTTCAATATCATCTTCAACTGATTGAGAAATTTGAAAGTATTGGCTAAAGTCGATTGACATAGTGAAATTAGAAAAAACATTACTAAGAACGACATTGTTGAATCATTGTCGACTGTTGTAACATGTTCACATATGACTTGGATGTTGGATGGAGGATCCGACTGGGGTGTTCTCCCGGTACGTCACTCTGACGATCAAGTTAGCTTTTCTTGAGAGATAGATAGAATCTGGGAGTAGGTATTTTTCACAAGAGAGAAGATGGATCCCTTCCTTCAAGTGGAAGAGATCCTTTTGTACCTATTACTAACGGATCGTGGGGAGCGTGCTTCGTGAGCATGCAAAGTGGGCTCCTCTAACTGGGAGAGCTATTCATGCTAACTAACTCTCAGGTGATGTCAGTTCTGGGCGTCACCCGAATTATTTGTTGCCTTATAATTGGTTGTTAGTGAATGAGAAGATCACATGGAATATTCTTATCATGTGACGAGAAGTGAGCTGCTGCCCTGGCCTTAGATCGCTTAGGACAAGACCGGGTCTTGGCCAAAGTAGTAATGTTTCTGTTACATTTTCCGGTACATTTAACGTGTCCATTGGGTAATGTTAACAAGTCCCTTAGACCAGGCTTCTGCGTTCGTGACGTAGCAGAGTTGTTCTGGTCTACTTCACAAACACGTGGCAGGCTGTTATTGATATCATATGCCTATGGCAGGGCGAAGTTATCGCTTATCGGCGGTTCGTTGCCCCCTTCTTTGTATTTAAATATTTGTCTTCCCTGGCACATCTTCCCACCTGCTACATTACTTTCTTTACGCTTCTTTTTTGAAAGAAACATTTTCGTTTTTTCCTCTAAATCCTTCCATGGCTACTAGTGGGAATCTTTCCAATTTCTTTTTAGATTTGTTTACGAACATGGGGTGCAGATCCCTTTGCCTAATGCGTGTTTGTACAATCCTCAGGAGGGTAAATTTGGGGTCCCGATCGCTTTGTTTGAGGCAGATTTACGCTTTCCTACCACCGATTTCTTCAACTCGATCATCCGGGAGTACGAATTTTCAGTTAGAGAGTTGACCCCTATCGTTGTCAACAAGATAGTGGGCTTTGAACTCCTTTGCCGCGCCCTAGGCCATTTGTCGACGATTCCTGCTTTTAAGCAATTTTTTAACACCTCTACCCAGTCAGGGACTCGAACTCTTTCAAACAAAATTTTGTTTGGTGTTGACAAGGAACTGGCTGATACCCTACAAAATTCTTGGCCCTCAGGAGGGCTCGTGGGAAGATGCATGAATTCTTCGTTGAGAAAATAGGGTATTTCTTTTGCTTCTTCCTCTCCCCCTCCCCACTTTTATATGAAAAATATCAGTAGGTTGTGTTCGAGGCATGGCTGTGACTAAACCAACATTGTTTCTTGTTTTTACCATGTGTGGAAGAGATTGTTTCTTTGGAGAAAGCTCTTCGGGGTCTGTTTGACGGCGCGCTTCAGGTTCACAATGTTGACCTAGTGGAGGTTCTTCCACCTACTTTTTCTGGCGAAGGATTTACGGTGACCGTCAGTTCTGGCAGTGTTGGCGTGAGGATTCGGACCTTCAGGACGTTGTCATCAGTGGTGCTTCTTAGAAGGATCCTACACCGTCCGGGTCCCTGAGGAGTCTTCTTCGGGTAAAGAGGCATTTTGCGAACTTGGTAGCCTCTTCCGGCGGTGGCTCTGAGGCAGCTAGCGTCGCGTCCCCTCTACATAAGAAGTGTAACTTGAGTCTCTTACCGGGGGGTCTAAAGATTCTATTCATGCCTCCGACGAAAGTCCTCCGAAACTGCTGGAGGGGGCACAAACTAGGGCGCCCGAACCGCCTTGTCATACTGGAGAAGGAAGCACCGACAAAACCAGTCCCGTTCCCACAATCGAAGGAGTTGAGACTGAGACTTGGTGTCCGCCTGCTCACGGTCATGCCACCACCTCTTCTGGTAAAGCCACAACTACCCCTACTGATGGTCTCTCATCCTGATGCTTATAAGCCTACTTGGGGACTAACTGCCCAGGATCTTGTCTGCTCAGATCATGACTATGACATTCCCATTTTCACGATCAGAAAAGACCGATTTTTTTATGCTTTGTTTAAAAATCAGAGTAACATTTTAAATAAAAGTGTTGCGGAATTTGTTCCCATAATAAAATATGATAAAGATTTATCAAAGCATTTCCGTAGAAATGTATTTCATTAAAATCCTCGAGATGTCATGTTCGATACATATCAAAAGCATAAACAGTACAATATAAGCCTTACTACATTTATTCATATATGCAGGCCTATATCCGTAATCTCTCATCCCAAAAATCATATTTATGCTCGTACGCCACTACCTATAATACAAGAAACTGGGTGGGTCAGACTTGGGAGTCTGGTGAGCACATAGGATATATAACCCACTATAAATAAGTTTAATAATTTCATAAATCAACAATAACCCGATTACCCGTTCCCGTTATCCTCACATTACATCCCCAAAACACCTATCATAAGGGACCTAGACTAAGGATCAACATCGGGATGGACACTAACGCTAAGGGATTCCTCAGCAATAAATGCCCTTAAGGGGAATGGAGTACACAGGTGAACACATCCTTCACAAACACCTACAGCTTGTGAGTCTGCTAGCGTTCCACTGGACTGTCAAGAAGAGTCCATGGTCGTCATCCATCCTCCATTGGATGACAAAATCAACAACAACAACATCGACACCTCTCATCATTTTATCACACGTCGTCTATTACATCTACCCATGTTTTACCCCAACATTTTTGTAGATATAAAATACATATACAGTTTAAATAATTTAAAATATGTATAAAAATCTTTCATCAACATAGACAACAAGTATTCAGACAATATGCACACATAGCACGTAGTTTATATTAAATACTTCATATATATATATATATATATATATATATATATATATATATATATATGTAACATGAAAGTAACTATGCACTCACCTGAAAAGGTGGTGACTCAGCACTCGGACAACACTTCGTTACTCTTAACACAAGTTTCCTTTGACAAAACCTAGTATCATTACCAAAAGAGTTTAGTCTAATATTCACCGAGACTAATTAATAGTCTTGCTATTATTACTATTATATAAGCACGAAACAATATTTCTCAACCACTATATACAGATAGGGGTCAGACATAAAACACCGAAGGGCATGACCATTTTGGCATATAACACTTCTGAAATCCAAAAACCATATGTAGCCCTTTAAACCAGATTTCCCCTACCACGAGTGGTTAAAAAATATTTTAATGACACTTATATAACTCATAATAATAGCCCAAATACTTATTATAAGGTCTTAATAACATTACTATATTGAAACATAAGATATATTATCGATAGGGTAAGCGTAGCTCACTTACACTGAGTTTTTCGCAAAACCGGGTTGGAGCAACTTTCCCGAGCCGAAAGGCTCTTTTCTCGGGGCTTCCTTCGGGTGCTAGGGGTTTACCTAGACTTTTTTTTTTT